TCTTCTCATGAACCTTAAACTCTCGAGACGCGTAGGCAATCACTCTACCGTTTATATCTATACCGCGATAAGCCCGATACACAACGCATCACAATACACAGTGTAAGATCCCAAACCTGTAGGAAACACCAATACTAGGGATGTATTCAACGCAGTCTTTAGCTTCTGAAAGCTCACCTCTCACTCATCTGACCATCTAAAAAGACCACCCTTCTGGGTCAACTTGGTCAATGGGGCTGAGATAGATGAAAACTTCTCCAGGAATCAGCGATAATAACCCGCCAAACCCAAGAAGCTCCGAATCTCTATAGCTGAAGTAGGTCTAGGCCAGTTCTGAAATGCCTCAATCTTCCTAGGATCCACCTTGCTGACCTCAAAAGATACATGGCCCAAAAAGGGAACCGAGTCAAACCAGAACTCACACTTCAAAAACTCGGCATATAACTGATGATCCCTCAAAGTCTGAAGTACAATCCATAGATGTTGCTCATGATCATCTTTACTACGGGAGTAAATCAGAATAACATCAATGAAGACAATCATGAAGGAATCCAGATAAGGCTTGAACACTGGTTCATCAAATCCATAAAGGATACTGGGGCATTAGTCAAGTCGAATGACATCACCAAGAACTCGTAGTGACCATACCGAGTCTGAAAAGCTTTCTTAGGGACATCCGATGCCCTAATCTTCACCTGATGGTAGCCCAACCATAAATAAATCTTGGAAAATACCTTGGCACCCTGAAGCTGGTCAAATAAGTCATCAATCCTCAGCAACATATACTTGTTCTTGTTAGTGACCTTGTTCAACATTGATAATCTATGCACATCCTCATCAATCCGTCCTTTTTCTTCACAAATAATACTAGTGCACCCAAAGGCGAGACACTAGTCTAATGAATCTCTTGTCATGCAAATTCTACGATTGTTCCTTTAATTCTTTCAACTCAACTGGGGCCGTATAGTATGGTGGAATAGAAATAGGATGAGTTCCTGGAACCAAGTCAATGCAAAAGTCGTTATCTCTGTCAGGTGGCATGCCCCGCAAGTATATAGGAAACACCTCTGGAAACTCTCTCACAACTGGAACTAAATCCATGAAAGGCACCTCGGCACTAGAATCGCGGATATAAGACAAATACGCCAAATACCCCTTCTTAACCATACCCCGAGCCTTCACATATGAAATGACCCTCTATTGGTGTGACCAGGAGTCCCTCTCCTCTCCAATCGAGGCAACCCCAGCATAGCTAACGTCACAGTCTTTTCGTGACAATCCAAGATAATATGATAGAGTGACAACCAATCCATGCCCAAAATCACATCAATATCCACCATATTAAGTAATAGGAGGTCATTCTTACTCTCATAACTCCCGATAGTGATCAAATGCAAAGATAGATCCGGTCAACCATAATAGAATCCTCAACGGACGTAGACGCATAAACACGAGTACTCAAAGAATCACGAGACGTATCCAAATATGAAGCAAAATATGATGACACAAATGAATAAGTAGAGCACGAACAAAATAAACTGATGCTTCTCTATAGCAAATTGGAAAAATACTTGTGATGACCGTATCAGAAGACTCCGCCCCAGGTGTAGCTGGAAATGCTTAGCAACGTGGTTGAGCCCCATGAATTTGACCTCCATCTCTCTAACAGCCTCTCACTGACTGGCCTCCATCTCTAGTTATCTGACCTCCACCTCTGGCTTCCTGGTCCCCGCCTTTACCTGCCCTAGAGGGTGGTCGAGCAATCGGTGTTGAAATCATGGCACGAGCACCCTGATGTGGCTTGCTGCTCCTCAATCTAGGACAATATCTCCTGATATGACCAGTGTCACCGCACTCAAGCAATCCTTCGGTTGGCATAATTGCTGAGTCTGAGATGGTTCCTGATGACCCAAATAACCATCGTAGTAACTCTGTAGCGGTGGTGTACTAATAGGACATGAAGGTGCACTAAATACTAGTTGCTCGGAACGAGACCCATACGCGCTGTGACCACCCGAAGGATCATGAGACATCTAAAGCACTGACTCAACGATCCTGATAGGATGGCCTCTACCAAATGAACCTCTGACTCCAAACGAGGCACCACTAAAATCGCGAAATGTCAAGGCCTTTTCTATGAAGTCGCCTCTCTGTCCAGACCATGAATTTTCTCGATCCACCTATCTATCTCCACAACCCTAGTAAAAGAAATATCATCCTCAGTCTCTTTGACCATCTGCAGCCTGATACCATAAGTAAGGCCATCTACAAATATTCTCACTATATCCCACTTAGTAGGGGTCAGGATAGCTCCGTGGCGTGATAGATCCACAAATCTGGTCTCGTACTGGGTAACAGTCATGTTACCCTATTATAGGCGCTTAAATTGTCCGCGTAGATCCTCTTTCTGAGTGAAAGGAATGAACTTCTCTAAGAACAGCTACGAGAATTGAGCCCAAGTGAGGGAAGGTGAACCTGCTGGCCTACCCCGAACATACTCCTTCCACCATCTCTTGGCAGAACCAGTCATCTAAAATACTGCAAAGTCCACTCCATTGGACTCCACTATGCCCATGTTGCGCAATACCTCATGGCAACGGTCCAAGAAATCATGTGGGTCCTCAATAGGTGTACCTCAAAAATGAATAGGAAATATCTTAGTGAACCTGTCAAACCACTTTAACCCCTCTCTCGACATAGAGGGTCCCTTCCGGACTATGTAGCAATGATAGGCTGAACTTCTCCAACTGCTGGAACTACCAGAGTCTGATATCCGTAAGCCACCTGCTCTGGAGTGTGAATAGCGGGAGTTTGAGCTCCTTCCCAGCCTGAGAAACGGCTGGTGCTACAAGAAATGCACCGGTCCGGGTCACGCTCTTCATGAGACCGACCAGATGGACTAGGGCATCTTAAAGTATGGGGTGGCAATGCATCCCTTTAGGAACTGAGCTAGTCCAATTGGTACGACTGGAGTAGGGATATCCTTCTCCTACTTGATTTGAGGCTCTGCAATAGGTGCTTCTGTGCAAGCTCTAAGATGAGCTCTGCCTTTGGCTCTGGTTCTGCCTCGGCCTCGTCCTCTACCCCTGGTAGTGGCTACAACCTGGGGCTCGGATCCTGACCGGCTGTAGATGTTGTGCATGTCCTTACCATCTATGAGAGAACAAGAATAGAATAATTCAAACCCAATAGTAGAATAAAGTCGCACGATAGTGAAAGAAAGAAGTGAAATTTCCTAAAGCCTTATAGCCTCTAGAAGATAAGTACAGACGTCTCTGTACCGATCTTCAAGACTGTGCTAAGCTTTCTCATGATTCGTGAGTCCTAGAGAACCTAGAGCTCTGATACCAACTTGTCACGATATGAAATTCCAACCACGGGGCTGTGATGGTTTCTAACATCTACTTGCTAGTCAAGAGAACATTAGCAAAATAATTAACCAGTTTTCAACTGAATATTAAGAATTAACGACTAATAAACTCTAAAATACATGAACTAAATACATGCGTAACGCAGTCTATACTAATCCCAAAAATTTGAAGTCACAAGTACATGAGCGTCTAGAATACTACAAACATGGTCTGAAATAAAATACAACGGTCTAAACTAGATAAATAGTAAAACAAAATAGAAGGGGACTTTAGGAACTGCAAACATTGTGCAGCTCTACCGCAAGTCTCCTGAAGAAGTCCGATCTGAGAAATCTCCCCTATGCACCGCTAGGACAGACACCTGGATCTACACAAGAAGTGCAGAAGTGTAGTATGAGTAAAACGGATACTATGTACTCTATAAGTGTTGAGCGTAACCTCAATAAAGTAGTGACGAGGCTATGACAAGACACTTAGTGAAAACCTATGCAGATAATTCATATAAAACAACAGAAATGTAGAGAAGCGAATAAATTCATAATAACGGTACCCAAATGTCAATTAATAGAGGATCCCAGAATAACAACAATTCATAACCTCATATCACAATTCAGAATTAGACCACTACAGCTACAATAAATACAACACATCATACTCCATTACAGCCCGCAACCCGATCTCAATATCATCATAATATATGTTGCGGCGTGCAACACGATCCTACTATCATATCAATATCTGTTGTGGTGTACAACCATTTCCCATTATCAGTTTATTTCAATACTTTTGTGGCGCGTAACCCACTCACAATATCAACTCATTAACATAAATAACTGAACACAAACAAATTCTGTAATCTCAATACAAAAGGAAATAAAGCGCATAGAACATTAAGGAACTACCAGTACAAACAAAGAATGGCTAATACCTCATATTCTCAAACCTCGACAACCCATTAATACAATAATAGCTAAAAGACTCACACGGTCGGGTATAACACAATACTGTGCACCAAGCAATATAATGACAATAAAGGTAAGTAAAGATACCAAACAATGAAGATATGCTATTAATACAAGTAAGAACATATAGTAGGTAAACAGATATTGAGCAAGAAATGAATAACTCGAAAGAGGTAACAACTAAATAACAGATAACAAATAAGGCATAGATAACAAGTAAGGACATGTAACAATCAAATCATGTAACAAAACATAATATGAAATAAATGATGACATAAAGGTAAATGGCCTAACCCGCATGTTTTGACCCATGAAAATGCATATACACTCTTCACCTCGCTTATACACCATACCCACACATAGTTCACCTAAAAATTAGACCAAACAAGTGTTAACAAACTGTAGAAAATTATGGATACATGGAAGGAAGAAAAAGTGGATTGGAAGATACAAATAAGCGGATTGCAAGATATGACTAAATACATAAATGAATAATTGTACGGAATAGGTTGTAGGAGCTTGTACCCATCATACTTATCGTCTCCGATCGGCATGATGGGTAAGTAATCCTTATACTTATTTCTAGTTTGTTAAGCATATATTTTATGTATGTTAATTTTAATGTAGGTTTTTGCCCTCATATACCAGTGACGCATATGGTTACAGAGTCTCTTAATCCACTATACGTTGATACTTGGGGTAGTTGAAAACAATTACATACTATTTCAGAAATGCAATATGGAAACGATTTAGGGTACATATAAAATTTATTTCTATATTATTTATCATATACCTAATTTTTGCTCTAATTTATTTAATCATTTTGCAGAAGAAGTGTGCATGAAAGCAATGTTATGACAATAAAATAAAAGATATTTTCGAGAAGATCAAAGCAAAAAATGAATTTCAGATTCCTTATATGAAGCTAAAAAAAAGAAGCCTAATTAGATATGAAAAGATGCATGGATAATCTTTTTAGAGAAGTGGGAGGCTCCTAAATTTAAGAGGAAGAGTGAACAAGCAAACACAATCTGAGCCTCTCAAAAGGTTAGCTCGTGACACATCTTAGGATCTATGAATTTTTCTCTACATCGACAAAGAATGGTAATTTTTACCTTTATTTTACTTGGTCTTATTTAAATGCAATTGAGATATTATCCAACTCTTATTTACCAAATTTTTCAGGAAATGTTAAAAGGAGGACCAATGTCTCATGTTGAGGTCTTTGTGGAGACAACAAGAAAAAGAAAAAGGACGATTCAAGAGAAGGATGGGTCAAGCCACATGGAGAGGAGACATATGGAAGATCATAACTTTAAGACTATTGTGTTTTCTTTAATATTAGTTTAAATTTTTATATATTATGCTTATTATTTTTATTTTAGGAAGGATATGATAGAAGTTTGGATGAATAGCGCCAGACACAACCTGCTTCTCAGGATGGTACAATAATTCAATTGACACCCGATGATATAATTTCAATATGAACAGATGATGATTTATCAAAGGTAGATTCTATGAGTTTGGATTATAACCTTCCTTGTGTCCTTCATTGCATTATTGTCGGATGCTTCTGCTTCGCAAAATCAGAAAGAATCGGAAGTAATGTGAAAATAGATTACGATACTGATGCAACGCAGTAAAATAGTGAAAAGTTTATGAAGAAGCACATGCCTCAATCTTCTAATGACGAAGATACTGAATCTGATGAGGAGTAGTTAGTTGTGGTTGTTTGTTATTGTTGAGATGTTTATACTTTAAAAGTTATGGGATATTTAAAATTTAGGGTATGTTTAGACTTTATGATATTTTTAGAATTTATTTTTTTGATTGTTTATTAGCTAGTTAAGACTTGATTTGGATGGTTTTGAGTTTTTCGACTTGATTAATGCTTTAGTTTGATTATTTAATGGGGTTTGAATGTTTATTTGTTGAATTAGTTATTCGAATTTAATTAGGTTTGACCAGTTGGATTGATGTTTGGTTGGGTTGTTAGGTTTTGGTTGTCATTTTGGTTATTAGGCAGGTCGTGTAGCTAATAAAACAGCAGAATTATGTCCAAAAGATACCCAGTTGTCGACTACTATAGTCAAAAGTGGGCATATTTTTCTCCAAAAATAATTTTCCGACTACATTAGTCGAAAATCTTAATGGATTTTTTAGAAGTTTTAATTTTCAAGAAAATAAATAAATAATTCTATTTATTTCAAAATATCTGTCTACGTTAATCGAAAACTTGAATAACTAATTATTTTTTTTATTTAAAACTTCTCACTACTCTAGTCGAAAACATTTATAAAAATAAATAACTATTTTATTCAAGTTTTTTACTACAAAAATTATGACTGTTTTCTGATCGTTTCATACATTATATTATTCGATTACTGCAATAAGACATTGTAACGATCCGGCCGGTCGTTTTGAGAAGTAACGCCCCGATCCCCTATTAATTGCTCCCCCCGAGTCTATTTCTGCTATTGTGAATTGCCGGCATTGTTACAACCTATATTCACGTACGTCAGTTCATGCCATAAGGTAGTCGACGTAAATTCATGAAGAAATTATCTTTAAGACGATAAGAAGTTAATCCTATTGGTCTTAAATGATACAAAGGTGTATAAGGGTGGTTAACAAGTATTAGAAGTTAAACAAATCGAGGATGTTGTCAGACGTATTTTTGGGTAAACCTAGAGGTGCTTAATGCAATCAAGAGGTCGTATTTAAAGGTATCTGAATCATATAATATCCGTATCATAAGTCTTGAAGTCAAACGAGTTATGAAACAAAGGTCGACAAAAGTTGTCGCAACTTAGGTTCATAATTTTACTTAAACATTAAGTCAAATGTTACTAAGCTTTTCACCCAATTTACAAGGAATTACGGGATGATCTACCCACCAAATTAAAGATCTATGAGTCTAGTTTCTAACTCATTAAATCGTTCATCGATACAACATCGGAGTAGAGAGATATAGGCATTTTTGCGAGACTGCACAAGCTGCTAGGTGACAAGTAGGTGTGTCACCTACTTGGTTAAATGATAGCCCAAAAATAGGAAATTTCGGGTCGGCCAAAGATCCCATTTAAAGGTTTATCTCCTACAATATAACCGTCATTATATATCACAAATAACCAGACCTAAACCCCTGCAAACTTCCTCCCAAAAATTATCCACAAACCCTAATCGATTTTCCCTCTCTTTCAAGTTCTAATTGGGGGTAAAACCTAGAGTTTGAAGAACCAAGGGAAGGGCTGAGTTATCCAAAAAAAAAGGTGAGTTTACTGCTCTCTTTCATACATTTTTTCTGCTGTGAATTCATGGTAATTCTTTCTATACATGTAAGAACTCACGGGACGGTGATTGGAATCCGTGTGTTCGAGTTATTCACTTGTGGCGGACTGTTTTGTGGACTGTTTTGTGTTGCTGTTGGGCTGCGTGTTTTACTACTGTTATTTGGAGTTTTGGAGGAGGAAGGGTGCGTAGAAACACCATATAGATGTAGGTTTGTGGGCTGGTAGTTCTTCATAACATTTCCGGGTCGTTTGACACGACTACGGTGGCCGTCGTATGTATGAAGTGATTAGGTTGTGCGTGGACTGTTTTGGGAGGCTCAATATGATTATATTTGATGTTGTTTGGGCTGTTTGGTAATTGTTTGGAATTGTGTGAAGTCATATATATAGGGGAGGTGCTGTCCGTTTTATCGTAAAATAGGTTGTGGTCGATACATAATAGTTATGACGCTTGAATGATAACTATAGTATCGTTTCTCTTATTGTAGACTAAGGAGTCGTGAAAATTGCATAGCTTGAGATTGGGGCATTATATACAAGGTATGTGAGGCTATCCCTTTCCTTCTTTTGCATGACTTCGATTGTACATAATGTAATGAACGAGCTTCCAACGATACGCTACTCTTAGAAGCTAGCAGTACTTGCATTGTTTCCCCTCTTATGGAACAATTGATATTGATGTTGCTTCTCTTATTCTTATGTTATCAATGTTATTGGTACTTCCTGATTCTTATAAGGTTCATGGTGAAGAGTTAGTCCTAATAACGTGTATAGAGGATACCGACCTTAAGTCACTCCGAAAGGTTTAGAACGTGAGTCCATGAGTCGAGCATGCATTATATATATATATCTATTTTACTCTACCGAGCCGCGCTATAGTCGGCCGGGTACGGCACCTATTGTGCAACCACTGATTAGTTGGGTTTTACCGAGCTCCACGTGGCCGGGTACGTTTTTACCGAGCCTATTACGGCCGGGTACGATATGATGATGATGATGCCCACAGAGGCGTATGTTTTAAAAGTTTATGTATATATACATATGTATCACGCATTTCATGTCAGTAGCCCTTAGAGGTACCCAGATGTTACAGGTTGTTTATTCTCTATCCCTGCTTACATTACTGTTCGTACTTATGGTTCCCTGCCTTACATACTCAGTACTTTATTCGTACTGACGTCCTTTTATTTGTGGACGCTGCATGTCGTGCTGCAGGTCCTGATAGACAGGCAGGCGCAGCTCCCCCACCATAGTAGGTTGTCCAGTTCAGCGGTGATTGGCGAGATCCCTTCTTCGGACTTGCCGTGGTCTTGGTATGCATTTTTGTTATAGACATTATGGGTATGTCGGGGCCCTGTTCCGGCAATGTTGCAGCACTTATGTTCCTTTAGAGGCTCATAGACAGGTGTCGACTCATGTATAGTTTGGTAGGCCTTGTCGGCTGGTTTTTGTTGTATAGTCTCTCATGGTAGTGTGGTAGCTCGTACCTTATATATAGTTTCTTGATTGTCTAGTCATCCCATGTTATGTATGTTCATGCCATCATATTTTATTGTTGGTTGTCCATGACCCATGTCTACCATTTATATTGATCTCGTCAGCCCTAAAAGATAATAAAGAAGGTTAGATAAAATGTATGTTGGTGCTCGGTAAGTATGGCCGGGTGCTAGTCATGGCCCTCCAGTTTGGGTCGTGACAAACTTGGTATCAGAGCAAGTCTGTCCTAGGGATTGTCTATGAGCCGTGTCTAGTAGAGTCTTGATTATGGATGTGTAGCGCGCCACATTTATAATCAGGAGGCTACATGACATCTAGGGTTGTTACCTTCTTCCTGAATCTAGATCGTGCGTAGAGTTGAGTCGTAAGTGTTCGTCTCTAATATTCACTTTGTTTTCTTTCAGCGATGCCTTCGACTAGGAAGCAAACAATTAGTAGACGGCTTTATGCAGCTGCGAGAGAGGGTACCAGTCAGGTGCCCCAAGCCAGAGCAGGCAAAAGTGAGGCTCAAAGTGAGATGCCGTCTCATACCTCATCTACTCCGTCTCCTTCAGAGGATATTAGGAGGCGCCCAGCACCACCAGTTCCGCTGTTTGGCACTATAGACCAGGATATGCGGAATGCGGTACAGTTGTTGACTAACTTGGTAGCTGCTCAGGCTCAAAGGCGGAATACCGGTGTTGTTAATAAACCGGTTTGTACGAGAGTTCGTGATTTTATTAATCTAGACCCTCCAGTGTTTACCGGATCAGGGAGGACCCGCAGACTTTTATTTATCAGGTTCATCGTACACTGTGGGTTATGCATGCTAGTGATACAGAGGTAGTAGAGTTGGCTTCTTATCGGCTACGGGATTTAGCGGTTTTCTGGTATGATAGTTGGGAGAGATCCAGGGGTCCGAACGCTCCTCCAGCTGTGTGGAAGGAATTTTCTGAGGCCTTTCTTCGTCACTACTTGCCAGTTGAGATACGACGAGCTAGAGCTGATAAGTTCTTGAACCTTAGACAAGGTAATATGAGTGTGCGAGAGTATAGTATGCAGTTTGATTCTTTAGCAAGGTATATTACCGCTGAACGCAGTCAATTCTGAACGAGGAATGAGGAATAAATACCTTAGCACCTGGAGTTTGGCATAGGAACGTGTCAAACAAGCCGATTACAAGCCTGTGTAGCAGTGTCAATTCTGCATCTTGCCGTGTGGTCAAACAACTCAAGTTGGAGTGCGATACTTGTTCTTTATAGTAAACTTATTCAACTGTCAATAGTCGATACACATCCGTAACGATTCCGTCTTTCTTCCGCACGAACAGGACTGGCGCACCCCAAGGTGAAGTCTAGGCCTAATGAAGCCCTTATCCAGCAAGTCCCTTCAACGCACCTTCATACTCTCGCAACTCTGCCGGGGCCATTCTGTATGGAGGGATAGAGATCGTGAGTGTCAGGCAACACATCAATGCTAAACTCAATTTCCCTTCGAGGAAGGCCTGGGAGTTCATCTGGGAAAACATCTGGAAATTCATTGACCACGCGGGGATTGATTGTTAGAGTAGGCGCGTCGCCTCCGAATCCCTAACTGCGAACGAGATGATAAATGTAACCTTTTGAGATCATCTTCCTTGCCTAAGATAGGAAATAAAACCTACCTTCGGCATAGCAGATGTTCCCTTCCATTTAATGATGGTTTCACCAGGAACTGAAACCTAACCATCTTCGTACGAGATAGTCAACATTT